TCCAGCCTTTGGAACAGTAGTCTTTAATTGTTGACCATTTCTTGCTCCAAAAACAACTTCGTAATCCGAAATCCAGTAAATTCGCCCAATATCCTCTGTAGTCTTCCTCTTAGCCATTTTGTTTTATGTTTACCGACAACAACGTAGTTTCCCGCGTTGAAGAGTTCCTATAAATACCGTAAATACGCAATTCGGCGCACGTTTCATGATCCACTTACGATTGTGATCTTAGCTAGGTCAAAACTTCAAACTTAAGTTCAAATTTTGTCATAGACTTAAGTCTGTTTCATAATCCCGGTTTCATCATCTTCAGTGAGGTACGAGCAAAGATATATCGGCGAGGTGCTGGCAAATAAAACGTTTCAATATAAGCTTGTGCACTATACAGCACATATCAATACGTATCATTTTAAGCTGAAACAATCTAATAGTATAGTTCGATACTCACTCTAAATACTGCCAGCGCAGCTTTCACAATTTAAAATGCGGTACAGATATTGAAGCCATAAGATCAAAATAATGTTTGTTGATATTAATATTTTGATGTATGTCAGTCAGTCAGAAAATGTGCTTTGTCCTTTATTGCAATATCAAATAATATAGCACAAGCCGAAATTATCGGTTAACCATTCATTTTTTCTCTGTCCAGTTAATACGCAGTCTTGTTAAATGCCAATTCATAACCAGCGAGTTTTTAAGGATTCGGCCAGACTGTCAGTTTTATTTTATTTTTACTTCAGAATGAATAAGATAAATTTTTAGTTTTACAAATGTGTCACCATCACGCGTTATCAAACTTAGTGTATAGTGTTTGTAAGTTTTGATAACTAATAAAATATTTCTGAATAAAAAATGCTCCAACTGAGTAGACCTTTAGTAGATGACAGTGATATCATACAAGGCAATTTTAAACCAGAAGGTTTGAAACGGAATACGAAACCTGAAGCTTCTCATCGATGAATACTTCAAAAGTGCAAAATATTATGTTAGGGCATGTGGACACGTGAAAAATTATGTTACACTGAATCAATTATGTGGTGTATGTTAAGACTTAACCTGAGAAAAACTGGTTTTAAATTTTACATTTAAATTCTCTATCGTGTTTCTAATTTTTATTTTTATTTTGCATTATACGACGTTGTTTAATTTCCCTTGTGATTCCTTAAAAAAATATCTTCAATTGCATATACAGCAAACATTACATTCAGCCAGTGTCGTCTCTGATTATGCCACTTCCTTACGATCTTGAAACATTCAACCAAATAGAAATGTATCTATCCATATGCATTTTATTGTTTTGTATACACAATGCATTACAGTAGTCGTGAGAGCATCGTAATATCTGTCAATATCCAAGTTCGAAGACTAATAAAGTTTCATGTCCAAAACTAAACAGACATTTACTAAGAGACATAGATATATGTCTCTGATTTATACTGTAAGAAATATCTCTGGGCGAGTATAACTATATGCACGGAACTAGATTGCTAGAACAGTTAAAATGTTACATATAGCACGGACTTAGATAGCAATCTAGTTCAGTGCATATAGTTATACTCGCCCAGTGATATTTCTTAAAGTATAAATCAGTAAGACTTCTTTAAGAAATTAATGTGAAGAATTGTGCAAATTCGGCGGAAAACGCCCAATAAAAACTATTTTCGTAGATTACTGAATTATAAATACTGCTATAAGACTAATCTATATTTTCATACGTATATTTGCCAATTTTCAAACAGTTTTCCTGTATACAATCTGAATTACAAATACTGCTGTGATATAGTGAGCTCATGGAATAGGGTCCGTTTTAAATCTCCACTACAATAAGACTTATTTCAGAAATTTTCTGGTATAAACCACGACAATGAATTAAACATTCAAGACAAATTAATGTGAAGATATAGTGATTATGTAATGAATCCATCCACCAATTTCTGACCTAAGAGTTCGGACATTTCACAATATTCGGAATTACACACTAATCCGACTTGACTAGTATAGATACATGTGTATAAAAATAACACGTTTTGCCATTATATTGAAGTGAATTATCTATATTTATCGTCGTGTACATTGCCAACATCAAACATAAGCTCTGTAGAGCTTTTATTACGACGCCGCTCATGCAGGGAACAAATGCTGTTTTCGTGGTGGAGGAAAACCCATGGAGGGGTAGGGAGTGACTCCTATCTGACATCACTCTCTTTTTCTATCACCGCTGGGGCTCGAAACTAAAGTCTGGGGATAGCGAGTGGTCTGAAGGTCACGCTTCGTTGCACACAGTAGTAATGACTGTAAGCGTTAGCGATCATGGCTACCGAGGCAACCGAGGGTAGGTCTCGACCGTCCACTCTACAAATAACAGATCACACATATCGGCATACTGGGTGGCTCGGACTAGTAACTAATTAGGGCGAGGCAGGGGATAGGGGCCATCGTCTGCTGGATATCGAACTACTCGGTAGTGAAACGGACGTAAAACCTATCAATCAATCAATCAATCAGGCAGGGGCCAGGTGTGTCAGTGGGTGTGGGTATATGGTTAATGTCCAGCCGATTCGGCTAACGAGACACTATCTATCATTATTACAATGTACATGTAATATTATGTATAATTATTAAAATAATATTAAAAGTATTAAGTATGCAAAAACTGACGCCAGTGTCTGAGAATTGCATATACAGTTTCCGCTAGTTTGAATGGGATATCCATATACAGAATTTAAAACCAGTGTCAGTTCTGAATATCAAAGTTTTACTTTATACTCAAATAATGCACTATTAAACTCCTCTAAATGCCTAAATTTTTGGACTATGGCCTGTCCGTAGTTCATTTTAACATCTTCAATTTACCGATGTAAGGTTCATCAGTTTTGAAATGTATGTGTAATATCAAAGTTTTACTTAATAAAGGTAAAAATAGTAATTTATATGTAAAAGTAAAACTTTGATATCATATATTTCCAAACTGATGGATCTTATTGAAGATATCTGAATCCGTTCTTGTCAGCGCTATCCAAGTCCGTGTTAACAATCAGATGAAATGAATATAATTTGCAGCCATATCACCATTATATTCACCATAAAGTATGTGGCAATGTATACTAGTACGTCATCTACGTAATAATAGAGAGGGGATGCATCAGGTATAATTGATATGACATGATGAGTGATATCATTTTGATGAACAACCCTTAAAACGTCTAGTGATACACTCTGCGCATCACTAGAATTTTCGGGTGCCTGTTGCAGGATGGAGCAATTATTTAAATGAACACTAAATTAAGTACAACCCTAACAAATAACACGTCCACCGTCATTGCCCGCGGGCATTATCCTAGTCTTCTCGCCCGTGTCCCCAATGTTAACTAAAAGGAGAGGCTGCAACTGTGCCAGGGACATCTATATTCCTAATGCAAGTAATGTCAAATTTGCAAGGTCTATACAAAATAATATATAAATCAAACTTGTTATCATGAACTTTACTATAATTGACTTTACAAGTTTTAACTGCTTAACGTTTTGTCCGTGAAGGAATCACATATATATATGATCTTACATGAGTTTCCATTTCATATGAGATTTATGAAACGAGTTTCTGGCGAGCTAAAATGAAAAATTGTTACGAGTTTCATAAATCTCATATGAAATGGAAACACTCATGCAAGATCCTTTTTATCACATAATCAAGATTTGTGGCATTTATTCGTGTAAAACAACATTTTTTATGAAACCTTGAAATGTAAAAAGCCGCCATTTTAACTCCAGTGTGTAAGTCTGTGACGTCATGTACTTGTCCTAGGCGTGACGTCACAATTAAAACTTACAACCAATCACAGGGCTGATAGGTCATTTTACATAGGTTAATACGCAAAAATATATGACATGGGTATATTCACTGGATAAATATATATGTAAGGTATTCACTTTTCTTATATGCTAAACCATGTAATATATACATATTTCAATTTATTCAAGCTTAAAATTGTGTTTTGTTGGCTGTAGCTTTCCTGTTTCATTCACATTGCTCATGAAAAACAATCATGTTTTCATCTGCTTCCACTTAGTAAAAATATATAGATATAGTATATAAATGTTTTGGTGCAAATGCAAAATGGAGCAATGGTGTAGGAAAATGGTATTTTGGCAGGGTGCTTGGGCATTTCTCCCACCAACTCGAGGCTTTTGGGTTCAATAAAAGAATTAAACATTAAATTCATAATGTTCATTTTCCTAGCATCCAGTATCCATTTGGGTTAACTGTAGTATGTATGCCGTCTAATAATGTATAATATTATAAGTTTGTTTAGTTTATAATAATTATATGAATTTCTTTCTGCCTAGCCGCTCAAAAAATGACTTTAAAAATGTATATATCTAAAGTGATGCTTAAAAATATTAAAAAAACGTTCATGTATGCTTTAATATATTATAAATATAAAGAGTGATAACCTGTGAAATTATTAGTACATGTCCATATACTTCATAAGTTCCATCATAGGAACATATATGTTGTACTAAAATAGATACATCACTGTGCAAAAATTATTTTACTTACTTGATTCTTTTATAGACACCTTTTTATAAAGTCTAAAAAAGTTACATGCTTTTAGGAAAAATTAGAAAAGAAAGAAAAACATAACTTACACTTTGATTTCTTTTTATACAAATATTACCCCTTCCCCGCCCAAACACAAATTTCACGGTTGGGTATAAACACCTGTGGGTAAAATGGTATACAAATGAAATACATTATGATTAACCAATGCAATTGAACATCTTATTCTCGTACACCATTATAAACAATAATTTCAGGGAACTGCAAGTATACTAGGGCAATGTGACCACCCACCGACTTATGTTCTTTTCAATTTATTATCTACCCGAAAATATGGGCTTTGACTATTCACCTCTGGGCACATGGGATTCTGATAGCTGTACCTAATCGTATTCACCTTGTGTAAGGGTAATTAATCCTGCCTTTTCCCTCATCTGTCCAGCAGGTATTCAGGTAAATTAATACACAGAACTCACCTACAAGTAAGATACTGTGGCTGTCCCTTGGTCAGGAGATGTTAGCTCCCAGGCACAAGTCTATTTCACAGCTGTGCCAAACTCCATTCAGGTAAATTAATTTCTGCTTGAAGTTTCCTCAAGTGCAAAAATAGTGTTCTTACTCTGTGAATATAAAATGATATTTAAACTCTTACTTTGGTGATGTTTTCATTTCTTTATGAATAATCTATTCATAATGAGTTGTGCAATACGTGATTCTGTTTGAGCTTCCATCAACCTTCTTACCGATAACACACTTCTCAATATCAGATTGTTTATAATCAGGATATCTTTCAATAATAATTATTAAAGCAAGAGGCTTATATGGCCTGTATCACTCACCTGGAAAATTATTCCTATTACATATAACAACTATTTCCAAATATTGACTCTGTCTCTCATTAGGTTCCTTCTTTATGACCCCTAAAAGCAACCCTCTATTTACATAAAATTAAGTCCCGTTTGCCCAAGGATGTTCTTAGTTTGTTTGAAATCTCTCAAATCATACAAAAGGAGAAGATTTTTAATGATTTATTAATGTGTCCCCCTATTGGGCCTTGCCCCTCTGCCCCAAGGGAGAGAGGGGCACATTCTCACTTTAAATTGGATCCCCCTTGCCAAAAGGTGTTCCATGTCAGATTTAGATAAAATCCCTCAAATGGTACAGAAGAAAGATTTTAAATATGTAAACCTCAAATATCCCTATTGGGCCCCATGCCTCTACACCAAGAGGGGCCACACCCTCGGTTTATACAAAATTGAGTCCCCTTTACCAAAGGATGTTCCAGGCCAAACTTAAATAAAATCCCTCAAATAGTACAGAAGAAAAAGGATTTTAAAGATTTAAACCTCAAATTGCCCTATCGGGCCCTACTCTTCTTCACCAAGAGGGCCCACACCCTCTGTTTATACAAAATTGAGTCCCCTTTGCCCAAGGATGCTTCTGGCCAAATTTTTAGAAAATTACCTAAAATAGTACAGAAGAAGGATTTTGAAGTTTTAAACCTCAAATTCCCTATTGGGTCCAACCCTCTGCACCCAGAGGGACCATACCCTCCATTTATACAATAGTTAGTCCCCTTTGCCTAAGGATGCTCCTGATCAAATTTAGTCAAATCCATAAAGCTGTTCAGGACTAGTAGTGATTTAGAGGAAAATGGCGGACAGACAGACAACGAACGCTGCGGTACAGCATAAGCTAGCTCACCATAGTCTTCGGACCAGATGAGCTCAAAATCATAATGAAGATAATTTTATTTTTGTCATCAAATTGTTAGAGCAAACGTAAATATATAACAATGAATGTTATTCCAAGTTCTCTAAAGTGAATTGACGATTGATAGGTAGTATATAACATTTATCACTCATGTATTATATTAAACCACCTACTGGTAGCATGGACAATTCATTATCATGGGTTGTATGATAATACACTTGTAGAAGTTAAAAAGACTTCAGAACAACTTAAGAATGTATTTACCCATTCTAGAATGTATTTACCCATTCTAGAATGTATTTTCCCATTCTACAATGTATTTTCCCATTCTACAATATATTTTCCCATTCTACAATGGATTTTCCCATTCAAGAATGTATTTTCCCATTCTAGAATGTATTTTTCTCAAAACAAGAATGTCTGCTTGCGCCAAGTGACGTCCTGAACAGGTTATCACATCTACAAAAAGGTATTGCGCGTAAGAAAATAGTCAGCACCTTTGCTATAAATCTACAAAACATTCGGACACTCCAGACAGTGTTAATCTTTTGTCATTTGTATTGCAAATAAGTCGTAAAGGGACAAAATGACAACATTTTGCAGTACAAAGGCTATGTACTGGTTTTTTTTTTAATTCAGAACTTCATATTTCTGGTGATTATTTTAAATCATTATTGGAAATTGGCGACTTAAATGGAAATTTATAGCTAAAGAGTTTGCTTAGGAGATGAGATGAACTATGTTACTATTCACAAAATTAAACAACGTTCAAGAATTCCCTCACCCAATATTTTGTTAATGAAAACAAAATAGCGATCATACATTTCTAACTATGCTAACACGGTGACAATCTGAAATATTTTAATACAATTGTATGTCTTCACTTTATGTAACAATCGCCTTGACGAAACCCTTCCCTTAACTGGCGTCTTCCAAACATATAAATGTTGTTTTTTTCCCTTTTAGCCCACCATCATCTGATGGTGGCTAATCAAACCACCCTGCGTCCGTGGTCCGTGGTCTGTCCTTAAACAATTCTTGTTATCGGTATTTCTTACAAAGTACCAGAAGGATCTTTCTCAAATTGTATATGTAGGTTTCCCTTGGTCCTTAGTTATGCAAAGCATTTTTATGGACTGATCTGATAAACAACATGGCCGACAGGCAGCCATCTTGGATGTTGACAGTGAGGGTTTGTTATCGCTATTTCTCAAAAAGAGGTAGTGGAGAGATATTTCTCAAATTTTATATGTTGGTTTCCCTTGGTCCCTAGTTGTGCAGGGCAACTTTTGAGACTATTCAGGTAAACAGCCTGGGCGACAGGCAGCCATCTTGGGTTTTGACAGTGAAGGTTTGTTATCGCTATTTCTCAAGAAGAGGTAGTGGAGAGATCTTTCTCAAATGTTATATGTTGGTTTCCCTTGGTCCCTAGTTGTGTAGGGCAACTTTTGAGACTGTTCAGATAAACAACATGGCCGACAAGCAGCCATCTTGGATTTTGACAATGAAGGTTTGATATTGCTATTTCTCAGGAAGTACTGGAGAGATCTTTTCCACATCTGATATGTAGGTTCCCCTTGGTCCTTACGTGTGTATATATACTTTTAAGACTGATCAGATAAACAAAATGGCAGACAGGCAGCCCTAGACGATTTTTGACATTAAAGGTTTGTTAGTACTATTTCTCAGGAATAACTTGAGGGATCTTTCCTCAAATTATATATGTAGGTTCCCCTTGGTCCCTCGGTGTGCATGTTGTATTTTGAGACTGATCATAAAAAACAACTGGCTAAAGGAAGAACTAAACAGATCTTTCTAATATTGCAATAATCGATTCTATTTCTTTCCCATTAAGTACTGTACTAGTTAATATGTGAAATGACAAACTCACTTTGAAGGTAGTCTTTCATACACATCAGTATTAAGTTTAGATCAAAAGTTACCTCAGGGTGCATTTACTGTTAACATGACTCGATCAAACAGATTAGAGAAAAGAAGAGAAAAGATTGATCTGACAAAAAAAGTAATGAAGATGGTACAGTGTTGGGCGCCAAATTCCCTCTGGGATCTCTTGTTTAATATTAACGTTTCTTTCATCTTGTTTAGAGTTCCAATATCCAACTTGTGTTATGGATTTAATTTTGGATCTCGTTTGTTTGTTTGTTTGTTCGGTTAGTCTTTATTAATCTGTTAAATATATTATTAAAATATTGTTAGAAAAAAATTCGTACTGTTTAAGTGGATATTGCGTAACGATTTTTGTTTTTATATTACAGGTCAGCTTATGCTACAATATATTACCGTGCACCACTGAAGACAGTGCCCGCCATTAAAAGTGTTTGCGAACCATTAAAAAGGACTTCCGTCGTGTTTAATATGTGTGTCGTGTCAATAAAAAATATGAGTGTTTAATACAGTTTTTAATTATTATATACACATTTATACCTTGTGTATATCCAATCACGTATGCTATATATTCGACACATTATAATAGCGACAGGTAATTTATATCTCTTGATCGATGTACACTAGTGAGTATGAAGCATTGTGTTCTAATTTGATATAAAAAAAGAATCAGAAAATTCTGTAATATTCTTAACATTACATTAATAAATGTGTCCAAACATTAAATGTTTACTTAACCATCAAGACGTCAAGATTCATTTCTAGCACATCAATACACGTCAAATGGTACTTCTGATACTTTCACCTGATTATATTTTAACAACTTATGAATTAACAATGACAAAGTGGCAGCAATTGGGAGTATATGAAGTATGTGTAGTATACAGACTACATATCCATGTCCAACGTTCTCATTATGGTTTTATATGGGACATATTAGGGATTGTTCCAAATATACTTACTAGTATCGATTGTAATGCACACTGTTTAAATTAAGCAAGTATACCAATGATAATAAACACACTGACTGAGATGAAGCGTTGGGTCAGCACACAAGGACAACATTAAAGCTTAATCCTTTTAAAAGCGACTAAAAGAACAAGGGATACATTGCAATCAAACGGTAAAATATAACCATGAATTTCCGTACTTGTCGGAGACTTCACAAGACAACTGGTCTTTGATTCCCTTTGAATGACCGTTAGTGATGACAACTATACGATCCTTCTCTAAATTCGGGGGTTTTCGTCGTGCTTTCTTCTTAGAGGACAAAATTGCAGTGAAATTAACCAATATTCTAGGTTCTGTTTATGCATAGGCACACAAATGGGATATCAAATTTAATTCGCTGATAACTGAATCTGTTATTTTCTCAAGGAAAGGGAACCAAGTCATCCGGATGTCTTGTTTGGTAATGCTGAATAACAAAGTCATAAGCACTTTAGCTCACCTTTTTGTAGTGATGATAACTGGACATATCACATGAACAATATTTATGACCTAGCCAATACAAGAATAAATATATTGAGAAATACTAATTGGATAGACAAAACGTCTTACAATAATATATTCCTTTTTTATAAAACCAATAATCTACTTGGATATGGGGATTTATTAGGGACAACTTTAGTAACCCAAATAAAAATATTCTAGAATCAATCCAGCTAGAGGTATTACGAATTATCACAGGATTGCATAACACGCTTTATGCAGAAATTGGACTTGAAGTACTTTGTTGTAGGCGAAAACATAAACAACTAGTACTTATGTACAAAATTCAAAAGTACTTCGAAGACATCATTAAACCATACCTTTACAATGATGTAAATGTACGATATCTACTAATAATAGCTGTATTTTCATTCACCAACTTTGCAGAACCGAAAATTATTTCAATAACCTTCCCTCGGCAGAAACTTTAAATGCTACAACAATTTAAAATCAATTCTGATAAAGTAAATAACACAAAATAATTCTCAACCTCATTTAGATACTATGGGACAAGACATTTTGATATTATACTTTGTCAGCTAAAATCATGCTGTCAACCGGATTAGTATTTTGTATATGAATCATCTGAATGACACACCAGCATGTAGATGTGGAAATGGAAATGAAAATTAAATGCGTTTTATATCATATTTGATATATCCACGCTATAATAACAGTAGGACGACTGCTAATCATGATCATTTTAACCTAAAATACTCTATCAAATGGACGTATAGTATTCAGCACTGATATCAACATATAAATCTTATATAAATATATCCGACTATATTCGTCAAACTAATTGATTTGACATGTAATACATGTAGCACTCACGACCAAACTTTTACATTGAAAGTGATGCTTATATTTATATTGTCACTGTGCAGATAATTTTGTATTTATCTTCACAACATCTCTAGTACCCTAACCCTAACCCTAACCCTAACCCTGGAATGTATGATTACTACTGTAAGTCCTGTTCAAATTATTATATAGTATCATGATTTTTAAGAGAATCAACACCAATAAAAAGATAGTAATAACTATATGTTCCCCAACGTTTCTATATCATTTATCTGAAATTTTACAAAATGTGTATTTCTTGGTAATTTATCCAATATATCCACTGGGTTGATGGTCAATGTGTTTATATGCAGTGACTTTTGAGCCTGTATCCCTTGGATTCTACATAGGATGGGTTGTCAAAAAATAAAAATTCGTTATAGAATATATCATATTTTCTCCCACCTCTGCTTATGAAAGATACACGTGTTCCACGTGAATGACCATGTGGGATAAGTGTTTCCCATATGGGTGCACTTAGTGACCTGTATTATAATAACGTTGAAATAAGATGACACTTATGATTATTATTTTTGCGATTTTCGCGGAAACAATTTTTCGGCAAAGAAAACAACCACTGTAGTTAAAATCAATGTAGTCCCTTTTTATCGTAAATCGTGAAATCTTAGGGTAAACAATATCACGCGAAATGACAATTTTAGCAAATCCGTGATACCAAATAATGTAATATGATTGGTAAACTGCTGAATATATAGAAATATATAATAAAAAAGATTAAATTCCATGTTTAGAGAGTAAGTATAGAAAAAAAACAAGATAAAAAGACCGACTTCAAAATGAGTAGAGTTAACCCTTTACAGGACGGTTCGACTTTATATATATAAATATATTATATATTAAGTCTTACCGTAAATTAAAGTCACATTAAAATTCTGATGCTCTATCCTGTTTGAAATTTCACATTATGCATCGTATTTTTATACTTATTTACCATAATCAGGATTAAGCAATTGCATGACATTTGTTGTCATGTATCTTTCGACAGCCCAACTAAATACAGTATTCACAAGAACACAAAAGAGACTAGATTGCGAAATACATGTACCTGGTAGCCATGGCTGTGTTATTCGCGAATTTTATAAGTTAATGTACTACCAACTCTATGTGAAAAAAAATGTTTTCCCACAACCACATCATCTACTGTCTATAACGTGTACTTATCTTGACATTGTAAATAATTACACTCTATATGTATTAAATGAATTTATTATTTTTAATTGTAACAGTTGTTGGTAGCAGTGACCTGTGCAATATATGCACATGGACTTTTGGTCTAAGCCTGCCATTATCTGTCTAGGATAGTGTATATAAATGCTGAAATAAATGTATTTGTACATGTACTTGTATGTGTGTGTAAGTGTGCATGAGGTGTGTGAGATGTTTCCTTCATGAGTTACTTCCCCTTAGCCGTGTGTTAATATGAATTATTTTGTGTTAATTTTTTCATTTGCAACATGTCTAAAATATTATGTCTCATTGTTTATTCCACTTTGGCCATTTGACGGAGAGAATTTATATAGGCTTTGCCTGTTATTCAATCCAATTGACTACGACATGTTGTCAATAAAATTTGATGAAATGAAATGAACCACATCATCACTTTGTAAAATCAACATTTGTTGTAGTGCCTTCAGCGTTGTCAAGTGTATACAGAAGGCATAAAAGCTAGCCATATATGATAAGAACCATCGATGAGTTTTCCTTAATCATAGAAACATACAAATTAGCTCTACCTGTAAAGATTAAGGATTAGTTTATCATATTGCGAACAAGTCACTTTAGTGCTGATAAATATTTACGTACATTTTATTATTCCTAGAAAAGAAAAGAATTTCTTATCTCTTATAGGTCAGATACATTCTTTGTCATACAAAGGGCCGGTTTCCAAAACGGCCCCTTCTCTGATTCAAATTTCCTGTTGGTGGTGCATTGCCCATGCCGTTGTGGTCACAAATCTATAAAGTATAAAGATTTAGGTCACTTGGTTTGTTTTTTATGGCTCCTCAAAGTTGTACCTTTCAGAAGCTGTCTAAGTGTTGATAAAATTTGCATGTTATGTCAAATATTAATGAAAATCTAATCAAATGATGGTCACTGTAAAGAATACATTCATGGCATGATTGTGACAAAAAATCATGTTTCCATCGCGCCATTTGGCTGTTTTATGGAAGAAACAATCTCAAAAATGCCATTTTCGATGATAACATTTTAACCACAAAAACTGTGTTTTTTAGAAAATACACCCTTTTATGGGCGTTGGATGCAAACCATTTTTTTATCCTATTAAATAGTACGTAATATGCTATTGATGAGAGGAAAAATCATCAAAATGTAAGTGGTGGAACATTTTCAAATGCTGGATTGAGTTAGCCTACAGTTGAATTGCCGATTTTCGACTTTCTTTAGATAATTAACAAAAAAACGAGAGTATCTGCTCGGTATGTTGAGAATATGTACACAGATATCAAAAAAAAATTGAGAGAAACACTTTTTCATAATAAAAATCCAAGATGGCTACTTCACAAGTCCCCGTGGTTGAAGACATTGGCTGACAAATAGACAGAACAACAAACAAAACGTGTTCCTTATGATTTTGGTTGGTTTTCGCATTTACGGGAGTGTTCATAGCTACGGGCGATTGTATAATACCTATATTTATAAGTTTGGTTAGTCACATGGTAACGGGGATCTTTCATATCGAGCCCCAAACATACTTTCGACATATGCACTCCGTTGCCGCATGGAAAACTATTTCAAGTTTTGTCGGAATTTCTTTACCTGTGGTTGTAATGGTCGAGGGTTTTCCAGCGTCCTGTAATACCCAAGGTAGTACAAGATACTGGAGATGTGCGCACACATTCCCATCGTTCTCTCTCCAACTGGGCACTGGCAGTAGTAGTCCTTTATTGGGGCCTCAACATCGGGTGAAACGGTGAACCGTATCCAAACGTTATATTTCGTTTGGCTTTTGTGTCGAGAATGTATTTGACATCGGAGAAGGTCTGGGGAGTGCTGGTAAAGCCACACCTCATAGTCTCCGTCATCACTTAAATGTTCGGCGATGTAACCAGGAGCCAGAGATATCTGATACGTTCCACACGTAATGGTTCTCAAGTAATCAAGATCGAGACGGGGAAAC